CTGGGATCATCCACTTAATGAAACACGCTTCTTTTTGTCATTACTGTCTAAATTCCCACTACAAAATAAAACAGTAGCAACAGCAAAAAACGAACAAACAATAAACCTCAATAAGGAAAATTCAAGGGTCACAGATTAAAAGCCCTGTTATCTTTCATCTTGTCTCAAGAACATTTGAGAACATAGTCCAGAATAAAAGTCGGATATATGTGGTCCTAAAGAGACAATGGGTTTAAACAATTTTAGTTCAGACTTTTGGAATCAAAGAAACATTGTACGTGTCATTGACTATTTAGAAAAATAACAGTTTTCAAGTGTTAGAAACATAAAGAAATGGGTATAAACTGGCATGAGAGGGGTGCTGATTGTATCTAGACCCAGTGAGTAGAGTTTAAACCCGAAATGGCCATTCTCATGCTGAAACTCCCCTGCATAGCATCTATTACCTGTCCCCAGCCCGCTTCCCAGTCTTGGGCCCTGTGGAACTCTCTATTTTTATGTCCCATTCACACTCTTAGACCCTATTCCTCTTCCCCAACCTGTGTGTCTTTGCCCAAGCAACTCCCTGGTCTAGAATGCTTGCCCTTCCTTTCCCACCTCACCAACAGTCTTCCAAATGAAGCAGCGTGGGGATAAATAAATTCCTTCCCTTTCTTTTGGAATCAAACTTGGCCATCACTGGTCTTTCCCATCACAGCCTTGGGAAGTGAACCTTGCCAAATTTGGGCCCATGCTACATCATAGCCATTGGCCAGGAGCTCCTGGAGGGTAGTAACTGTGCACACATTGAATAGGTGCCGAAGTGATACATTTTAAAAAAATCAACCAAAAGGAACTATGAAGAAACAGAACAGCTCTTTATCAATCTGGAAAGATCATTACTGAGGATGAGAACATGGAATACTCAGAAAACTTGAATTATCTTCAGATAACTCAGGGGAGTTCTAGTCATCTGATACAACAACCAGTAAATAACAAATTAACAAACAAATGCCATCATCACTTTAACAATTCCTATACTGATTGACCGTGGCCACATAATATAAGCACTATTTACAAGTAAAGGTATCAAGTAGCATAGCTATCATTCGATTTTAGTGAAGGAATTTAATGGAAAACGACTATATCTAATTCTAAACTTAATAATATTGAATTATTTCCTATAAGATTATAAAGAATTTTTTTCTAGTCATTCAGTCAACAACTGTTTACTGCCTACTATTTGCCAGGCATAATCCCAAGGAGCTGGAGATACAGCAGGGAGCAAAACATCACCCTTGTCCTTATGTAACTTATTTTCTAATTGGAAGAAATAGATAATAAATACGCACACACGTGTCTGGTGGTGGTAAGTGCTATGAGGAAAAAGAAAACAGGAGAGAGGGCATAAGTGATTATGGCAGTAAGACAGTGAGATGCCTTTTGTTTTTATATATATTTACATTTATATGTATTTATATTCAGGAAGGCCCCGCTGATAAGGGACATCTGCTAGAGAGCTGAAGGTAGGGGGGCGTAAGTCTCACAGCATCTGGTCGAGGCCATTCTTAACAGAGTTTCCTGTTAAGAATGCCTGGGAGCGCAAAGTCCTTGAGACAGGCGCCTGCTGGGGGTGTTCAAGAGAGAGGCAGGGGACGGGTGTGGCTGCAGCTGAGCACGTGAGGGAGGAAGGATGGGGAGCCAAGCCTCAGGGAGATGGTAAGGAGGAAGACAGAGCTTCTGGTGGGTGGCCGAGCAATGCTCTGAATGAGCCAGGAAACCACTGGGGCTTTTAAGCAAAGGAATGACACAATTGTTATAAGACCACTTTGGCTGCTATGTTGAAGACAGTCTGTAAAGGAACAGGGTAGAACCACAGAGACCAATCAGGAGCTATTCCAGAACAATTTAGTAGAGAGGATGTGGCTGGGGTCAGGTGGTGGAGGTGATTAAAAGTGGATGGATTCTGAAGACATTTTGAAGTGAAGAGCCAAAAGGTTTTACTGGTAGATTAAAAGCAACATGTGAGAAAGATGGGCATCAAGGATGATCTCAAGATTTTTGGCCAAGCAGCTGGAAGGGATGACAGAAAACTACGGGGATGTGTGCTTCTTAAGAGGTAAGTGGTAAAGGAGGGGTCTGGGACACATCAGACCTGAGATACTAATTAGACACCCCAGCAGAGACTGGTGCGGGTTAAGTCAGAAGGATACCCACATCTGGAATGAACTGGGGCATCATTAGCACAGAGATGGTATCTGAAGTCAGGAGACCGGATGAGACTACCTACAAAAGTGAGCACAGACAGGAAGAGAAGAGATCAGAGACCACGGCCCTGGAGCCTACGTGAGAAGCTGGGGAGGCAAGGAAAAGCCAGCACAGAAGACTGAAAAAGAACAGCTGGTGCCACTCTGGGCTAGGGGAAGGCTAGAAACAGTGCACTCTCCAGACACAGCATCATGCTGCAGGCTCCTGGCCTGCCCCCTGCAAACAAGGACAAGCACAGAAATGCTAAGCAAAATCACATCTCCAGCTATCATTAGTTTAATGGAGTAAAAGTTTGTTTTAAAAAATAATGAGACCCAATCTCAGTATAGTAATCAATAAATCAGAAACACAACAAACAAATCCATCAACTTGGCCAAAAATTTAAATTCTAACAGTATTAGGTATCAAGAGGTGAGGAAATGGAAAGTCTCTACTGGAAAACAATGTAAAATTATAAAGCACCATTATCTAGGTATCTACATATAAAGTGGTACTGTTTACGCAAATTTAAAATACAAACATAAAATCACGCACTATTCACAGATATATACACATGTGTTAAATGAGCTGAAAGGAAAACCCCCAATGCAGTGAGAGTTGCTCTGAGAGGGAGAGGAGAATGGCAAGGAGAGGCGAAAGGGAAGCTGCCCCTCAGCTGCAATACCTCGCTGAGCTGGTTTTCAAAAATATATTGCATTTACGAAAAGAACTTGAAGCAAATATAAGAAAATATTTATAATCAACCCTGCTGTGAACACATGAGTACACACAATAAAATTCTTTGTACTTTTTTGTGCTTTAAAAAATCTCCAAATATGTTTTAAAAGCACAGAAAAGCACAATAAAACAGCTGATCATTTGTTTAAAACAACAATTGTTTACTGTATTTATACCTACAGTGCAAACCCATAATAAAGCAAAAGGAATGAATTCTGCTGGTGAAGCAACACAGAATGTTAGGTCTCTAGCACAGCATGACACAGCACTTGGCAAAACTCCACCTATATGTTCTACTTCAACATTATTTCATAAACACTGTAAAAAAATTTTGAGCCGATTACCCACAAATACAGTCGTTTTTAAAAAAGTAAACTGAAAGGAAAAAGGCAAAACTATATTGTTTATCAGAAGTTCTAATCTGAATAGGGAATTAGGACATCAACTTTGAGTAATAATCTAAGACCAACTTCAAATGCTTTTGGAATTAGAAAAAATACAACAATGAATAAATACATACGTAGGTCAATCAGTCAGTCAGCAAATGCAAACAATCCATGATCATTAACAGAAACTATAATTCTCCTATGCAAATTTAAGACGTAAGTACAACCTTCCCTTAACAATTTAGAGAACTCTATAGACACATTAGTTAATTTTTTTAAGATTCATCTTCTTGAAGAAGATACACATGAGTGTACTATAATCATACCATTACCCTGTCCTTTTCTACACGGTGGGTAATAAATATCCTTGCTGAAACTCTTACACATTTTTCCTAGCTTTTTACAACGGAATTGCTCTGTACCACTGAAGATGTGAGTCATATCTCTTGTATATTTAGAAGTAAATTCAGGCTGATTTATTTCATGTGTTATAGGGATTAAATGCATTTGAATTTTCACCTATATATTCAATGATGTCCTCATCACTTTCTCTCTGGAAATTTTCTCTAGACCAAACTAATACTGTCAAGAAAAATGTAGCAAGCAGGTAAATGTTTAATTTAGGGCATTTTAAAAAGCAGTAGGATACTTTTTCAAAGTATTTTTTCTTTTGTCGATAAATCCTTGGGTTAAAAACAAATTTTACAAAAAGATATTTCTATTCTCTGATGAGTTAGAACAGATGAACAGGTTTATTCTTCCTCAAAATTCGTGAGAGATAAATAATTAAATTTGTTAACACTGTTTAAAAAAACAGCTATTTAACTTTTTCGGAGTAATAAACACTTAGGAGAAGTAAACAAATGTTTTAGTCCACAATTATGGAGCAGGTGCGCAGCGCAAGGCACTGCGCTAAGTGCTGTGAGTGAGCACATGTTCCGTGCTCACTGGCTCTGCTCGTGCTGAATCATCGCTGTGGGAGCTCAGGTGAGTGCGTCAGTAATCACAGAACAAGGGAGAGGGGGATTAAATGCTTTCAGGGAGGAAATTCTAAAATACTAGAGGAGTCCAGAGAAAAAAAATTGTTTCCTGCAAGAGGTGTGGAAAAGGAAAATCAGAGAAGGCTTCATGACAGCAGTGGACCTGGCTAGGTTTGAAGGAAGGCAAGATTTTGACCAGGGCACTGGGAGCCACGTTTGTGTGGGGAGTGAGGGCTGGGGTTTAAGGGAGGGGTGTAAAGGTGAAGAGCAATCAATGACAAGTCAGCAGGAAATTCAAGCATATGGGTAGGTGAAAGAGAGAAATGAGAAGGGTAGAGAAGTAGGTAAGCAGCAGATTACAAAAGATTTTGATCAAGGTCAAGTGTTCACATTTTATTTTCTAGACAAATGGGAACTGATGGGAAACTGAGCAGAGGGGAGGTATGATTAGACACATGCTTCAGAAAGATTAACATTGTTGGGGATAGATGGATAGGAAGGAGGACAATCTAGACATGGGAACACTAATTAGGAGCCTACTGCATAGTATAAATAAGAGGTAATGAAAACAGGAATTAGGCAGTATCAGTGGGAATGGAAAGGGTATGAATGCAAAAAAAACTGTACATTATAAATAGCATTTATGAAAAAATATGGTATAAAGCCTTACCCGATTCTTCTGTATCCTGTTCATCTATTAAACCTACTGAGATGCCTAAATCCACACATTTCTTGCTATGCGCCTTGGACTTCATGTGTTTTGTCAGATTTCCTTAAGGGAAAAGAACGTTTATTAAGCTTATGTAGTATCATTTTGCTATTGCATTTGTAAACACTGGCAAATTTCATTCCTATTCAAGCAAAAGTACAGATTGTGGTCGTACAATTCCAATCACTAAAATTCGGACAAAAGAAAATGTGGTATCTCTATGCTATAATACCTTGTTATTTATTATTTATAATTTCTTTTTAAAATTACCTCCTTTACTTCGATAACATCTCCTTTAATTTATGTTTTCTATTCTCTAGTCCTTATTTATTTCTTGGGACACTTTTTATACATAAAGTCCCGCTCAGACTACACTGTGCTCTGTAGTTCTAGGAGTGTGAATTCTCCACTTGTTACGTCTGCTGACTCTTCGTCACAGTACTTTGTTTCTTTGCATGCTTTTTACGTTTAATTGTTAAGTTTATCCTCAGAAAGATTGCTTTCCATGGAGTCCTAAGTACCCTGGGTTGCAGAAACATCTTTATACAGCAGTTTTCCAATTGCTTCTGCCTGGGACTTTTAACAGTTTCACTGGTTTCAGAAAACTGATTCTGGACGAGTTTTTTGTTTGTTTGTTTGTTTTTGCATGGTATAGATAGAGGGTTTTGCTTTTAAGCAGATAGGGTTTTTCCCACATGGCCCAAAGTCACTGGACAGGAGGTCCAGGCTTATTTCAGGAGCCTCAGAGGCTATCTCAGGACAGGTACACCTGTAGGCATATATCTGGTGTTGATTTCCTTTAAGGCCTTTTAATTTTTTTTTTGTTTGTTTGTTAATATCTGCTCACATTGGTAGCTTTGAGTTTCTTATTTCTGGTACCTTGGAATTCACATTTTAAAGTTTCAAGCTTGACTATCTATGAAAAACTATTTTGGGTCATTGTAATTTCATAAACATTTCATAAACAATTTCATTGTTATTTCTGGAATAAGAAAAAGCATTTCCTGTATTAATTTCACTTCACATATAAAGTATAAGTCTCAAAATAGTACCAGTAAAAGTGTTTCCTCTGGCAGCTGTTGTACCGACCTCTTGAGGTATGACCATGCCACCTGAGATCCACCAGGCACACCTGCCTCAAGTGAACATTGAATCCAGCTCAGATTCTTCTGAAGATAACAAGCATCTACACTGGATAAAGTCACACACAAAAACACTGCCAAGAGGGGCAAGTCATCTTTTTTTGAGAAACAAAAACAACTCTAAATATTGAATTTGGTAGGCAGGGGCAAACTAGTATTTGAGAATAAGCCTTTAGAAGAGCTCAAAATGTCTGAATCATTGGTCCAAATGTCAGGCTTGCAGTGGCTGAAGCACATGGAAAATAACTATATTTATTCAATTTCTTGATGAATGGACTAAGGCTGTGCAACTGGTCATCCCTGTACAAGATGATTCTTGCACTACATAGCACATTCCTGTCTGAGCAGGACCCCAGAGCTTAGTACTTCAGGAGGTCAGCCTTAAGAGGCTGCCTAGACCAGATCATGGCTAAGATCCATCAAACCCTGACTTCCGTGATTCCAGAGATAACACCTGGATTAACACTTGGCTATCTCTGATATTTACCCTAAATATACTGAAAAAAATATGAAGCAAATATGGCAAAATCTTTGCTATTATTAAAAGATTATGAGCACAATGGTGTTCATTATACAGATCTTTACTTTTATGCGAGAGCTTCACATTAAGAAGTTATAAAAATGATTTAGGTATTTTACTATGGTTGACATTTCCACTTGTAAGTCAAAATGCTTTCCGTATATTAATACTAACAATATTGCAAACCAAATTATAAGGTACACTAATAGTTCTCTCTCTTTTTTTTTTGGAGACAAGAGTCTTGCTCTGTGTCCCCCCAGGCTGGAGTGCAGTGGTACGATCTTGGCTCACTACAACCTCCACCTCCCCGGTTCAAACAATTCTCCTGCCTCAGCCTCCTGAGTAGCTGGGATTACAGGCGCCTGCCACTGTGTCCAGCTGATTTTTGTATTTTAGTAGAGACAGGGTTTCACCACGTTGCCCAGGCTGGTCTCAAACTCCTGAGCTCAGGCAGTCCACTCACCTTGGCCTCTTAAAGTGCTAGGATTACAGATGTGAGCCACCACGCCCAGCCCTCTTTTGAAATGTTTTTGCTTCTTAAATAGAGATTATTGCAGGTTATTTACTTTTTAAGAAGCTAATATATAATTGTAACTAGACAAATTTGGATATACAAGCTTTTAGTAAGCATATTTTCTCATAACTTCAGCTATTACTTATTATTAATCAACTTCCTAAATAATGTAAAATAAACAAAAATCTGCATTTCAATATATAAAATATTTAAAGTATGCCTATACTGAAATGCAGATATCTCCTATCAATTTTGTAAACCTTGTGTATTAATTTAATAAATAAATTTTCTGATTTAATAAACATTTCTCTAAATCCTCTGGAAAGCATGAGAGGTTTTGTTTCTGGATTCTTATAGCTACATACAGTCTAGCTTTCTGCGATATAAATGAGACTCAATTTTGCAGATACAAGTTGTCTACATATTTTCTGCTGACTGACCTTTAAAGCAGAACCATGAAAACAAATCAATTAAAATTGTTTTGAAAATGTACTCAGAAAATGAACTCAGAGGGCAAATAATGAATTATGGATTTGTAAGCATTATCATCAGAAGTATCAATTTTTAGCTGTACAGATTATTCTTCTGATAGTGTTTTGCTGTTTTTGCATACCGTATTTATACAGCATGCCACCACACCACATCACTATTTCCTTCTGCTAGTAACCAGACACTAAGTGGATTCCTGCTGGCTAGGATATCAAGTAAAGCAGAGAAGGTGAAAATTTACAGCCTAACTGAACTAAAGGTCTACTATTATTTAACTACCTTTAAAATCTGCTGTGGAATCTGTTTTACGAAGATTTATAACAGGTAGACTTCAAAAAGGAAACTGACCATAAAAAATGAGAAGTGTTATGCCAAGAATAGGGAAATACTGAATTTCTAGTATTTTCTTCACCAGTCTCCTTAGCAAGGATAGCCTCCTTCAAATAAATATTTATCATATAATTCCACATGACGTCTTACAAAACAAAATATTTAATGCAAATTCAGATACATAGCATATCAGAGATATGTCAGACATGAAAAGTGCTAACAGGCAATACTCACTCTGCAGGGGTCGTTATGGACTGTCCACCATTTAGTTAACATTATCTCAAATCACTGAGTTATTTCACTAAGATTAATACCTTATGGCTCGTTATATTTTTCCTTGCCAAGAAATCACTGTGGTTTCATTTGGTTTACCATGCATCTAGGTTGTCCTTCTTTCCTTTCTTGCTCATATTACATAAATCTAATTTTTAAAATACTGATTCCTTTTAGTCTATTGAAAAAATACCCATTTCCTATTATATCTTGATCTTCTTGATTTGATAACATCATTTTGTACATGATAATCTTTTATTAGTAATATTAGCTTTTTAAATATGCTTCTTGTCTCATAAAGGAAGTTAATAGATGTTTCCTAATCATCAGAGCAAAACCAGTGAAAAAGCAATAAATTCAGTTAAAAGGCCAAAGTACTTTACCCTATCAGAGTCCTCCCTCAGGACCAGGAAGGAAAATCATCCTTAAGCTCGCCCTCCAACTACCGAGGAAGGTTCTAGATCACAGTCAAAGAACTGTATCATGAGTATCCCTCCCACCTCTCTCATTTCTTGAAGCTTTTTTGAAATATTCAAAAATATTTCATTTTTGAAGAATATTTTGTTTTTCCCCCTGAAGAATATTTTGTTTTTCCATCATTCTTGTTTCAGACATGAATGGTACTTAAAGAGAACTAATTTGAAGCATGTAGTTGTTATAAGTTATAACTCTCTTTAAATGCCCATAAATACTAGCCAAAAAATATAATAAATTTTCCTAAGGAGTTCATCAATCTTTAAAACAAAAACTGCAAAGACAACCAACATAATAAGAAAAAAGTAAATGTTAAGTCAAAGGATAAAAATTGCTTCTATTTTTAAAAATCAATTAACATTTTTTGGGACAAATATTGTTCTCTCATACATATTTTCACAATTATCTTGCTTTGTTAAAGAGAGATTCTTGGTTTTTAGAGAATGGCATATGAAATTAAAATCTCAAGTAACAAACTGTTCACAAATAAGAAGCCTAATGGAGAAAGCAGACATTTAAAGTAGTGTCTCTATTACATGTATCAAGAAACTCACTCAAGGTAAAATTAACTATGAGTAAGGATTATAAATAAAAGCATATTTAAAAAACCAGAAAGGGTCCTAAATATAGTTTTAATGATTAGTTCTCAGATTTCTTCATAAACATTAATAGGAACTTTAGAAAATTTTTGAAGGTAAAATTTAACAGTATTTGTGTAAAAAAAAGTATCACGAAAAAAATGGCTGGCTACATATGCCTAAAATTAGATAAAACAAAAGTGTAATTATTATAAGTTTACTGCAGTTATTTTAAATCTTTCTCCAATCTGTTAGCACCAGCGAATTTACTTGTGATCACGAAAATTCCTTTTTCTTCTTCAGCCCCAAATTAAATATTTTTGAAAATGTGTATTAATCATCACGTTGTATAACTGCAATGTAAGGAGTGAAATTTTTTAAAAAGGGCAGTTGCTCTTTTAAAAATATTATATTTATCATATATTTATTCTAAAACCGTGCAATTAAAAACTTTTTCCCAGTGAGTCTAAAACAATATAAAGAAATAAGACTACAACATTGACAAGGTGTAATTTACACTAGTCTATTTAAGCAACTATTTCGTTGGTCAAAGAAAATGCATAGCTGGGTTTTAGCTCTATCACCTGAATGCATATAAAAGGACCTTGAAGCAATATGCATCTCATACCTTTAGTCTTAAAGGAGAAGTTACAGTAAGTGCAGTGGTAGGGGCGGACATCTGTATGGGTTCGTATGTGTTTCTTTAACATGCTAGGTTTCTTACAACGTATTCCACATTCTTCACAAATGTATTTTCCTCTTCCCCTGCCTCGGACATACACATACTCTTCATTTGACTTATATCTAATTTAAAGAAAAAATGAATAGGGAGATTGTCTTTGAGAAAATATGGATGATTTTCAACCCAAAAATAAAACAAGGCACAACTTTCATACTCAACCAATAACAATTTTATGCATGTGTAAGTAACAGAATATTCCATCTTTTTACATCAACATTTAATATAGCTAATTTTCATCAAAAAGACTTATGCAATATTATATTTTGTTTTAGAGACAGAGACTTGCTCCGTTGCCCAGGCTGGGGCACAGTGGTGTGATCGTAGCTCACTTAAGCCTCAAACTCCCAGGCTCATATGATCCTCCTGCCTCAGCCTCTTGAATAGCTGGGACTACAGGAGCGCACCACTGCACTCCACTACTGTGTGTAATTTTAAAATACTTCCCTGTTTCTACATCATTGGTTAAAATTTTTTCTTCATTGGTAAATTCAGTCACAATAATTTTAAGTACTGAAATATTTTGGAGCTTCACTATAATTGGCTTTTACAATGTTTTTGTTCATAACAAAATACACAAAGATATCAAATAGGCAATGAATTCATCTGAGAGCAGATTCTCTAGGTCATTCCTTATTGTAAATCAACGTGAAACCCAAGATTCACTCTAATAATTTAGTTTTTAGCTGCTTTCAAGGTCATACAGTATTTCCCAAACAGTCATCATTTCTCCATCAAAATAAATTTAACATAACGCTAACATATTTTGCTATGGAGATTCTGTTAATAAGCTGAGAAACCTTGCAACGTTGATATTAAATTGGCACTGAGCCTTTATTCACATGAAATCAAATGTACATTTAAAAAGTAAGTTTAAATGTACATTTAAGAAGTAAAATTTGTACTTGCCCTCCATCAAATATTTTAATTCTTCTTGGTTCACTTTTGATTAAGGAATTTTCTTTATCTTGCTCACTGTTAATTTCAGAGGCATCTTTATTGCTGAATTCAACTACTGTGGATTTTTGATTACCTAATGCTCTCTGAAAGGAAAAAAAGAGAGAAACTAATTTAATAAAACTGAAAACACAAACATGCTAATCTTTCACTGGAAATTAAAACATGGCAGAGTACAGAGCATATGGTCAATGAAATGCATTTCAAAGTAGTAATAGATTCAAAGGGCATTTGCTTTATCTCTTCCTTTATGAATCTGCCTCAATCACAGCAAACTGATAAATCTTCTGTTACTTAAAAATCCCACCACATCTCACTAACACCCCCAAATAAAGGCTTTACAACTCCTAGATACACGGTATTTCATAAGTTTAACAGGAACTTTAAGTAAATTAAATACTTTTTCTTCCATTTAACCAACCACTCATAACACTACCATTTAAATACGCTTCTTAAAGAGTTTACTTTTGGAGAAGAAAAAGAGCTAGTTACCCCTTTTGGTAAAATAATGCCTCATACTCCTTAGAAACATCACTGTATCTCCTTCAGCTTCAGTGCATTATAAGGTAAAGCAGAAGTCCCATTTCCCAATATTTTACTTTTTCTTCCTCCATTATTTTAAATCACAAATCTTTTTTGAGATGGGGTCTCACTATTGTCCAGGCTGGAGTGCAGTAGCACAATCATAGCTCACTGCAGCCTCAAACTCTTGGGCTCAAGAGGTCCTCCCACCTCAGCCTCCTGAGTAGCTAGGACCACAGGCGTGAGCCACCACACCTGGCTACTTTTAATTTTTTTTTATAGAAATGGGAGTCTCGCTATGTTGCAAAGGCTAGTCTTTAACTCCTGACCTCAAGTGATCCTCCCACCTCAGCCACCCAAAGTGCTGGGATTACAGGCATGAGCCATCATGCCCAGCTAAAACAGTAATTTTTTAAAACTTGTCAAAAGTTTCCTGAATACTGGTAACTGTGAAACCTAGGTCTGGCCAAAAAGTTAGGTTTTGGCCTGATAACAATTCAGTCTCTGGAAAAAGGTAATGAAAATCAAAATAAAAATGACAAACAATGTGTGATTTTCCTATGGAAACAATATAATAATACCACCTTGTGACTTTATGCAAGATCTTATGCTACCAGACCTTTAACAGTATCTCACTTATCATGCCATTCCATTCTCTCGGGTCCCTGTGAGGCAGGCAGCACAGGTGGACTATACATCCCAGTGAGGAAGGAGACGCTCGGGGTAAAGTTCCTCGTCCCAGGTCAAGTGTGGAGCAAAGGCTCATATTCTCATGCTCTGGCTGAATCCAACGCAGTGCACAACTTTTCCTATCAAGGATTTCTTTTATACAAACCTCTTAAGAAATTACACCGTCAAGTAGACAGCTGTGGTGCTGAGATGACTTAATAATACTAAGTGATAAGAGAGCCTTGTTCATTACGGAGAGGGGTCTGTGTGGCCTTAAGAGTAGTAACTTGGGAGGCCCATCCTTACACAGACAGGAGTAAAGAAAAGCTGCTGGCCCGCCTTCCTCAAAAAGGCAGTGGGAAGAGCTACTGATGCAACCTCTCCTCTTTTCCTGACAATCAGATCGACTTCCACATAATTTGGAATATATGCACATACTTTCCCTTGACTGTATCCGTTTAACGGTAAATCCTGTTTCTTATTTTCTTTCCAATATCACATTCCCCTTTATCTTTTGCTCACTTTCATACTATTAAATCTGGCTTCTAATTGCCAAACTTATCAATGAGCTAAATGCCAAAATCTTAGTCCTTACATGCTTGAGCACTCTATGTATTATATGCTGAAGATGCCGTGCTTTGCCTAGAAATCCTTTTACTTTACAGCATCTATCTGGTCTTTCCCATTGTGAATCATAAATGCATTAACATTTGGGTTGTGGAAAACAGCCGGGTGATCCATCCTCCACAGCCACTTCCTCACAGACTCAACTCTCCAGGGATCTGCACAGTCCAGGCATGCCCATTTGCCTCCATCTTTATTTGACCTCTCTAACAACTCTCCTTGAATATCTTCCTCCATGTTTTGTGTGATGCCACTTTTTGCTCGCACTTCTCCTTCCTCTGTGAACAATCTCTTTCGGTTTCCACACAGAAGTGTGGACTTTCTTCATCCATTCAACCTTTTCAATAGCAGTGATCCCTAGGATCCAGTCTGGGCCCTGTCTTCTTTATATCCCGAGCAATCTCATTATTCACATGCATGCCCTAAAGAATCTCTACACTTCCACCGGGAGCTGTCTCCTAAGCTCCAAATCTAGATAACATTTCCAGACATTTCTTCCAAGGCATTTGGTACTCCAGGAGAGCCACTTCTCACAAGCACTTAGGAACACACATGGAGTTTTGTTTAAATTCTAATGATTAGGTCTTATCTTCCAAGATTTAGTAGATTTAGAGCCTGAGAACTTAATAAACTCCACAGGTGGTTTGGACACACCTTCCTTCACTGAGAAAAGTATCACTGGTTCTCCACCATACATATGCTTTGGTTTTTACCTATGTTTCTAACTTACAACACTTTCTAACCAATTAGAGTTCTTTAAATGAAATGTTTGTTCTCACTTCCATGTAATTTAGTGTATTATAATTTTTTTTTTTTTCTTGCCGGGTGCAATGGCTCACACCTGTAATTCCAGCACTTTGGGAGACTGAGGTGGGTGAATCACCTGAGGTCAGGAGTTCGAGACCAGTCTGGCCAACATGGCGAAACACTGTCTCTACCAAAAACACAAAAAAATTAGCCAGGAGTGGTGGTGGGCACCAGTAATCCCAGCTACTTGGAAAGGCTGAAACAGGAGGACTGCTTGAACTGGAGAGGTAGAAGTTGCAGTGAGCTGAGATTGTGCCATTGTACTCCAGCCTGGGCGACAGAGTGAGACTCTGTCTCACAAAAAAAAAAAAAAAAAAAAAACTCTTCTTTGCCTGAAAAATTCCTATTTTTTTAAAAAATTTGAACACTCAGCTAAAGCATCACCACCTTTGGAGTGCCTTTGCTGAATTCATATCTCTTCCACCTACTAGCAATGTTAGAAACTTCCTTCTTTAGAATCATTCATACTTCTATGGTAATACTGACATTGCAAAATTTTCTTATTGACAGATCTGTAAATGTTTATAAACCTGTGTTGCATGCTTATGAATCTGTAGAGGCCAGATACTTCATCTATAATTCTGAATATCCACAGTCCACGTGATATCCTTATCTACTATTCTAATCCGGTAAATGATTTCTTCACATTTCATAAAGCTGACAATTCTAATGAGACTGATTCCATAAATTGCCCCAAATTATAGTTTGATGACCTTAAATTACTTTATAAATCTTGACCAAATCAACTTATCAAGTATACAAATTAATTATTTTGTGAAACTTCTCTCTAGTGCTAATGGTTCTCACAGCTACATTGGAAGAAAGTTGGAAAGGGCATGGCAGGGGAGTGGAGTTAGTATGGACAAAACAAGTCTAAGTGGCTCTCTGCTTATATTTCAAATGAAACGCAACTATCTTTGATCATCTTCACCTGTTTCCCTGCATTAGCAGGAACAAAGCATAACTATAATTTCCTCTCACTTAACAAAAAAAAACAAAACCTTACTATAAGTAAAACATCAAAGTAAAACCATGATCATCTGTATTACTAAGCAAAGACTTACATAGTTAGCTGAGAAAAAAAAAAGTGCTCAGGGCAGATTATTTCTAAAATCTTTCAAGGTAGAATCACTGAAAGACTCCAGGTAACTCCTATCAATGTAACTCCTGAGGTAAATATATCACCCTGTCTTTCAAATGAGACACTTAAAGCACAATTTGTCACTCAAAATTAAAATATTTCCAGTTAAAATATTTAAAGGTATCAAGACACATTAAAACAAATTTGCACAAACCGTATCTGAAGATAAATTACATTTCAAGTACCTTGCTTAAGTTGCTTTGCCACTTGCTTGAATAGACCAACAAATCTGACTTGGAATGGGTAGTTATTGCTTGAGAATACAGTGATTTTCCAGTGTTCTGTTTTGAATTAAGGAGAGAAAGTGCAACTTTTGTGGGCAAACCAAGTGGATTTGGATTACTGGAGCTTACTGTCCAATCAGTATAGGCTGAAGTTTTCTGGTCCTTCTGCGGCAAATGCAACGACTTCTGCCTTAAGAGATAACACCATGTAAAGTTGGTTGTAGTCTTCAGGCTAGGGAAAGCCAGCTGCTGGGTGTCCCTGATGTTCAACAATGAAAGAGAAGTGACCGGCTGTTGACTTTGCTCTTGGATGTTCACTTTGTCACCTTGATTTTTAACCCCTGGAGACTTCCCTTCTTGGTTGTTGTCTGTACATTTCAAAGGAGAAATAAGAGTATTTTCTGAAGGGACAGGTGAATTTCGAACTGTAAGAGTTAATGATGTGGATGACTTGATGTTTTCAAATTCCTGCAATTCACTTATAGGTTCTATAACGACAAACTTAGAGCATTCTGATAACGAATTATCAGCTGGTAAAACATTTGTCAAATTAACAGCCTCACTACTAATTTCAGGTTGAGAAAAAATATCCTTTTCCAGTATCACACTGTCCAGGGGCTCTGTAGTACAAACCTGCCTCACTAAAACAGGTTTCTTCTGTTTACTAGGTTCATTAGCTCTCGAACCCAAAGGCTCTGAAGGTCTCACATCTGCTGCACAAACAGCTCCATTTTCATCTTTGGCCCGCTTCTGGTGCTTTTCCATGGCAATGTCTAAACTATTTGCTGGGGAAAGCATCCTTTTACTCGAAGCTGAAGATTCTTGCTGAGGGGAAAGTCGACCAACGGATATCTTCTGAATTATGGGTGAGGATTCCGAGAGAGAAGAATTTTGGACCCTCTCTGAAAGAACATTTTCACAAACGAATTCCTTCTCTGGGTTTGGCAAAGCATTATGATGACCTTTTTGTAATGTTGGCACAGAGTTTTGCTCTTCACTGATTGGCACTACACTATGATTAGCCTGGCAAATTGGCTGACTGGACAGATCCTGGGTCACTAGTATTTGTGGTAGGGACGTGAGTGTAGCAAAACAGTAAGCAGGAACATTACTCTGCAGACGTACAGGCAGCACGAATGACGACGGCACCTTCTGCACCTGACTTCCAAGGGGCCTGAGCTCTGGTGGTATCAGAGGATGCGAGTTAGATATGGTATCAATTAATTTGGTTGGTAACGCCGCTGATGTCACACAACGATCTGTTGCCACTGGATCTGAAATAACTTGATTTGGCAAAGAATGAGCAGGATTAGAAGAGCAAGATGGGCCTGAAGTGAAAACCTGACAATGCAATTGATATTTGGGAGCAAAGCAATCCTCACTTTTAGAAGACCCAGATAAAGCGGAACTGGCATCTGGTTTGCCACCCTGCGTAGACACTTGCGGAGACTGCTGTGTGCTCTGGTGGCTAAGGGGTGTGTGCATTTGATTTAACAAATTGATATCACAAAGCTGTTGAACAGGAAAGATGCTGGTAGAGCTGGAGTTTGACGTTTCTGCCTGCAGATCCTTAACTTGAGTCTGAGAGTGCAAATTATGTGCGGAAAACTCAGCTAAAGATGTACTGGTGACCTGAGGCCCCTGATATGGCACTGCGTTCACACTGGGAAGAGCAATATTTTGGAAAGACGTTGGGTTTATGGGAGACAGGTGACTATCAGGAGCTATGTTTAAAGATATCTGCCGGACCAGTGGGCCTCTCCTTCTTTCTAAGAGAGGCACGTGCCCAGCCACTCCCATTCGAGAAGGTGAAGACGGAGGCTGTGATTCAGTAAGTGGTGTCGTCTGGGGTGGGGTGATGCTTCCACAATCGAATGATTTGCTTCTGAGATCAGAGACCTCCATTGACATCTGCGTGCAATTTATCTGTTCTGATGCAGCACGTCTCATTTCCCGGTGACTTCCAGGAACATTCAGCGTATTCAAGCCAGCTGGGATCACAAGAAACTCAGCTTTATTTAGAAAATCGACTTTGGGGGAAGCCTCCGTTTTAGAAATGTCCTCTATGTCTAAAGAGGCTGAGAAACTTGAAGTGTGTGATAAGCTGCTCTCCCTACTTAGACTCCTGGAGAGAGTGGAATCAAAGCTCGATTCTGTTGAGGAATGTTCTATCTCAGCCAGACGCAGCCTTTTCTTTTTGGGTGGCAGTTTCTCTGTTGGCAATTTTGATAAGGTTTCACTCCGCTGGGGCCAACTGAACTTCTCGGACTTTTCTTGATCGTAGCCTTGAGCTTCCAAGTCCCGATCCGGTTCTTCTGTGACCAAAATCTCTGGAACTTGGATATTGTGCTGCCGGACAAGTCTTGAGGGCTGTCCTAACACAGGTCGTTCACTTGGACTCTTTCTGGAGCTTTCCTGAAGTTCTCCTCTGAAGACATCTGACGGTGCAAGCTGGTGAGGATGAGATCCATCCCGAGAAGGGTGACCCTCCTCTTGGGAGAGTCCTATCACTTTCAGAGACCCGGGCTTCCCTGTTCTATTCAGCTCCTGGAAGGACACTGGGGAGGCTCTTTCAAAAGGCTCAGGCTTGTCGAAGGAGTTGGGCCTGCTCAGGGAGTTGGTGTGCTGGATGACAGAGATTCCAGTCCTGTGTCTCTGCAGTTCTGTCTTGTCCTGGGCTGCCGAACTTATCTGCTGCTCCATGATGGTTGATAGCTTGGGATCCATGGTCTGCTCAGGGCCCCTGGCAACAAGCTGAATTTGGGAGTTTTGCAACTGTGTATTTTTATGCTGCTGGTCACTTCTTATGGTAACAGTATGTTTAGACAAACTGGGAGCAGAGCCCAGAGCATTCTGAAACCGAAGGCCTTCGGAGCTTTTTGGAGAAGTTCCACTTTCATTTTGCTGAAGTTCATCATCGTCCCCAACACTTTTCATTTTCCTCCTTTTTCTAATCTGGGGCGTCTGTTCCCAGACGCCGGTGGACCCGGCCACTCTGTAGTGCAGAATCTGCGGCTGCGGACCGCCAGGCACAGGGGCGTGCTCAGGTTCTCTCACGCCTACCTTTGTTTTTGGTCCGTGTAACTCAGAACAGTAAAATTTCTTATGATTTTCAAAATTTTCCAGTTTCCTATACCTGTTTCTACAAGTTTCACACTCAAACATTGTCCCTCGCCCTTGGTGAGATTTCTTTTTTTCTGTATGTGGGCCTTGTGCCAATGCCTTGCTCCGCGCAGACACAATTTCACCAGAGGCATGGCATCCTTGGTGGCTCTCATCCAGGGACTGCCCAGTACCGAGAACATGACTTTCATTTGCTGAAGAGTCTTCTATGGCTGCTTGTCTAACAAGTGTACGGGGATGTCCACTCTGGGGCACAGGAGTGTTAGGTCCTGATACAAACACGTCGTCATAGAAAGCGCCAATTTTGTCATCAAATGACTGACTTCCTCTTAGTGGATGAGGAGGAGGTATTATATTTGCAGGTACTGCTGAATAACCTGTAGTCGGCATGGAATTACTTCTTGTGATAGGTAAACAGTCAAGTGACGGTACAGACAGAAGAAACACTTGCTTTGATTTTTCAGTAGGGGTGAAAGGGGACTTCGGTATATCAGAGCTTGAACTTGTTCTCCGTCCTACTGGTTTTAAATCAAACTGAAACGAATCTTTAAATATGTATGATTTAGGGGAATCAATGCTTCCTCGTCTTGAGAGTGAAGTTCTCCGCGGCTTCACACTATCCAGTTGTTTGTCATCTACCAAGGCTTCATTGTCTGAGATAAGCTTTGATATCCGCTCCTCAAGTGTTTTTGTGGCCAAGGGTGGGCGCATCTGACCTGGTAAAAGCAATGCCTTCTCCCCTGTGGGCAGAGCAGAGGGTGCTGATGACGTGCTGACACGAGCTGCAGAGGGTCCGTTGCTCCTTACTGAGTCTTGTTCTGTGCTGGGTAACGTTCTGGCAAAGGGAGTCGGTGGACTCACTGTTTGATCGGCACTTTCAGAACGTGAAAAGTAACCAGAATCCGTACTTCCTAAACTTCGAGGACTCAGGAGCTTTCCTTGCTGCTCTTGGGAGTAATCCGTAGCCTGCTGCCTTTGTAGCTGAGCGTGTACTGCTCCTACGTGAGAGTCTTGCTTTCCTTCCAGTAGACTCGTGTCCCCTTTCTGGTTGGGCTTCTCATTAGTCTCCAACCTGGAGATGCCACCCTGGGACACGTTGGCTGAAAGTGACTGTACGTTTATCAACTGAGGGTCCTTCTGCTTTTGTGCGCTAGAAAGTTCAGCCTTGGGATCCACGGCCTTTGGACTGTCAGTTCTTAAGGGGGACACAGTGACAGGGTGGACCACAACTTTCGGTAACTCTGTCACAGCTTGTAATTCTGAAGATTTGTCCTGTAGCAAAAAGTCACCTACCACATTTTCTGGATTGCTTGGAGTGAAGCCTGATTTTTTTAGTAAAGTTTCAGCATTTGACGTCCTCTTTATTATGTGCACAGGCTGCAGCTCCATGGAGCCCAGGTCATGCTGTCTCTCATCAGTGGTGCCTTCCTCCTCGCTCTCCCCACTGTCCTCTATGTCTGAATGAATGCTAAGTGCTTTGGGGGACTCGTGGGACAAGAACAAGCCACCAGCATCTGGCTGCAAGACAAGACCCAGTTTGATAGTATGTGCGTGGGATTTCTTGTGCTTATACAGATTACTTTTAGTCTTAAATGAAAATCCACAAGTCACACAGGGATAGGGTCGCTCTCCAGTGTGGGAACGGATATGCTTTAAAAGCACACTAGGCTTTGCACATGCTCTATTGCAATACTCACAAATATATTTTCCTTGTTTTTTTGGCTTCTGATCTTTCAGAAGGAGATTGCACATTTGCTCTACACTTTGATTAACAACAGAGGCAACATGGGTTGAATTATAGATTGGCGTGGGGGGCGACTGTGTAGAATTGGCTGGACTTATTGACAAAGGTGAAGCAGAATCCATTTGCTGGTTTTGGGGAGTAACCTGAGATCTACTGGAAGATGAGGCTAGGCCTACAGATGATGTCACTGCTATATTATAAACCTGTTCAAGTTTGGCATTCTCTTGATTTTGCAGATTCATCAGTGATCCTGTGAAACCTGAACACCCTGGAAGCTGCTGATTATGTTGGTTAGATTTGGGAACAAAGTGTTCATGTTGATACAAATGAGAAGCTGACTGAACTGTCCCTTGCTCGTTCTTCTGAGCAGCAGACATATGGACTGTATAAGAGGTACACGACTGTGATTCAGCAACCAGTTCCTGTGAAGTTTGATTTGGGGCATCCATTGAACTGTTTTTTAATTTGGAAGGGGATCGTGCAGTCTTATTTGGCCTCAGTTTTTCTGTCTTAATTGCACAAGATGAGCCCTTTTGTGACAAGGTGCTCAGTTCTGGCTCCATTGCTTTCAGTAAGACATCAAATGCGGTGTTTGTATAGGAGAGGGATGTAGTGCCACAAGAAGAGATGCATTCACTATTGTCAGTTCTGCTTTTACTTGACAAGGAACTGGAGTCACATTGTTCACCGAGGACACTGAATTTGGCAGGGTCAGTGCCTTCGGATCTCCATCTACGCAGTTCAGATGAATGCTGCAGAAACAAGGGCTTCTTTGGGGAGGCTGATTCTTCGGACTTTGAGGCGTCAGCAATTATTCCGGGTGTTTCTCCATTTTGTTTGGTAAACTGCTTCCCATTTTTTACAGGAATATAATTCTGTTTCTTCTGAGACTCTGAAGCACTATGAAGAACGGTGAAAGATGACTCTTCTGTATTTTGTTTTTGTTTTGCCTGAAGAGGATTTCTCAGTGGGGATTTTGGTATTTTTTTCAGGTGATTCTCAGCTACTATCTTTTTGCGTTTCACACCTTTAAGGGATTCCGAAGTTCCTTTAACACCGGCCTCTAAGATTTCTGTTAAAAAAAACAAAACAAACAATTGGTAACATTGTACGTACACCAACTATATAATTTTTTGAAAATTAAGATTACTATCATTATGATAACTGAAGAAAGTAGTTTAAAGAAAGTCTATTTTTTAAATAAAATTGTATTTCTGTGTTCCAGAAATTGAAAAATGTTACCAATCAAAATCTACTGCAACACTCATGCAAAGACCCAGGTGTGCATTTCTGGAATGCTTGTGTTCCTTTCTTGAAGAATCAACATCCTGGAGCCAGATCTTTCAGAACTGAATTATCTTTCGCCTTGTCACTCTAACCCTCAAACAGTGCTCCACAGGGTTAAAGAAAATGGTAACTAACAAGAAGTCTTGAGCTTGTCTTACAGCACTGCAGATAAGGAAACAGCTTGTCAGAATTCCCTCTGCTTGCAACAAAACTGGCTGACTGGTTGAAACTGGTTGGAACTAGCATGGCTGACTGGGACCTGTACAGAATGGACTTAACTTGCCAGATGAGCAACCTTCTGACACCACAGCCAGTATTTTCACCACAGGTTTCACAACGACTCCCTCCAAATTTGCAACCCATAAAGAAGCATGAAGAGACAACTGTGTCTGTTCAAGGGACTTTCCAAACCTCCCCTCCCTTTCCAGCAATCATTAATCAACCCCAAAACCCCTCCTCCAGCATCCCTTCCTTTTAGATACTGCTTGAAGTTGGTGAGGGAAGACAGATTTGAGCATCTCCTGCATGGCTGACTTGTCATTAACCTTTCTTTCTATAAAAATCTAGTGATTCAGTGTCTGGCTTTTCATTGTGTGCAGGCAAATGGACCTAGATTGGTTTGGTAACAATACCTGACTCTGTCTACACAACGGTCTGAGAATGCTGGCCCACAAAGAAGAAAATTCAACCCTCTCATGCTGAGTATTTGTCTTATCTCATTAAGGATCTTTCAAAAGAAACTTTTCAGCAAATTTATAAATATGCAAAACTGATATTTTCATGAGAAAAAGGGCCGCTGATATAATTTTAAGGGTAGGCCATAGTCAGGACTGCCAAGAAATATTGCTGATATAGCAATTGTATCAATGAATAGAAAATCATTAAACTAAAATAACCCGCTTATTTGTGGTTTCTTACCAACAAAATTATGAAGTCGTAAGGTTGTAATCGCCCTTGGTTAAAAAAAAAAAATCACCATTTTCACTGAACAAAATATTCAATGGCTATGTTTCTTTGTCATTAGCAATAGGTAGGGCAGGTAGGCAGTTAGGGAGTCAGGCAGAAAGAAGGTAAAACTTACTGCAAGAGAAAGGAAATCACCTTCATTTTTAGCTGTGTTGGAAATAAGTCAGTATTTAAGTGACAATACCCACAATCTATCAACTATTGTATTTTTGGGCAACAATTCCTTGCCATGATTTAGTTTCATTTCCATGTGTTGGATTGTTGGGCATATCAACAAAAATTATTCAACCTTATATTACTCTACTTGTAGAAAAGCCAACTACTTAATTCTCCACTATTTTCAAATAGCTATTGCAGTGTACATATTTGAAATTCACATTGGACCAAAATGGCTACACTGCAATAACTATTTATTGAGGATGAAATTTATATTAGAAATATTCTAGTCACATTCTGACATCAGTTTATATGCTCTCATACCATTGTTTAATGAAAAAATGCATACTATTCCATTAAAGATATATTTACCCACCATAATTGAAAAACAAAGGGGGGGGGTCTCATAACTAAAATATTTGAGCTAAAAAAAGTAGAAAAAAGTATCAGTATTATTCACTTTTACAAAATGTTGTTGAACAAATCTTTTTTAATTCTCTAAAACACTCATTCATGAAATGATGTTTCCCCACTAGTTTTCCCTTGTTAAGATGAATGTAAGAAAGTTATTGATGCATTTTTTTGTCTCTCATTAACTCTATCAGGCAAGTAGGCAAAGTGAAAAATGATGCTTATCAACCTGGAGCAAGTAGTCTCTCTACCCTCTTCCAGAAGCTGGAGGTGGGTGTCATAAAGGTGTGAGAGTCAGTAGGCTATTAAAATAAACACAAAAACAGAGGTGAGAAATCACTTGGATGAGAGGCTGGCAGAGCTGAAACAACATGGACTTAAACATAATCTACCCATGTCAGGCCCCATCCGGGACCTATTCAACCAGAATCTTGGCCACGGGAGATATGCCTGCGTTGCTGTGTTTCACAAACAATTTAGAATAAACTTTCATTGTTAAAGTTATGGAATTTAAACAATGTCTTATACTCCAAAGAAAAATGCAAAAATTCAACCCAGAAATACTGTATGTGATTTAAACAACAAAAAAAAATTTAACCTTGTACTTAAAAGAAAATGACGTTGAAGATAAAGGAATTGCTAAACTTAAGATCCATATTTCTTTATAAGAGAACTGTTTCCTAAAAATCTACTGGGAGTTAAGAATTTGAGTAACAGATATTTTAAACAGAACTTCTAAACTTCATGTTTCAGTTCTAGACACAGACAGATTCCTCTCTCATTTGCCAAAGCTTATAACACATGGTACCTGTATCATTGTTTATACCTAGTTCTCTATTTAATCTTATCACATGACTGGTGCTATTCCCTTCAAAACTTTGCATACTCCTTTGCTTTCTGGCAACCTGGTTTACTTCAGAAAGCTTTCCTCTATGATATCTTCATATATGTTTTCTGGTCAACTTTTTTTGGAATAAGGTTCTTTTCTTTAGGGACATCAATTATGTTTTCTCTGGATCACCTGAACGATAATTTAAATTGCTTTCCTCTGTTTGGTTTTTTATCTTTTGTTTTCTCTACAATTTTCTAAAGCTTTCCTTTTATGCCAATAATTGAATTGTCAGGCCTTTACATTCTTTACCGCTTCATATTTATTCATTAGTTTTAGACCGATGTTATTTTGTTCTCATTTTATACCCTTAGTTCCATTTTTCCTATTTCATCTCATTTTATTGTCTCATATTAAGTGTGAGCTCTTGCTTTAAAACTTTTATGATCTTTAGTTCTGCACTTAAGAACACTTCTGTTTCTAGGGTAATACTTCCTTTAAGGCAGAATTCAGCCTGTCTTCCACATTCTCAAGGCTCTTGTACTGCCTGAGGTCATGGGGAATGGTGAGGGAGTAGCACTCAGCTGAGAACATACTCCTGACAGTCTTTTTCTGAGTTGTGTTCATCCTTCTAGGTTTTGTTGGATTTTCTTTCTTTAACAGGGTTCACTGTCCTTGTTCAAGGGATAAAGCCCACTCTATCACTGGTGCTTGAGAGGAGGGGAGGTAGTGAGATGACCCTGGAGCTTGGATCAGTCTAAATTCAAGGACTTTTTTGTGGTTGTTAGGAGGGGAGAGGCTAGTGGAGGTGAGAAAGGTGCACACAGAGGGACAATAGCAGGCGTATGGGAGAAGAATACTGCACTATCACTTTAGAGGTGGATGTGAAAGCAAGGTGGCTGTCTCTCCACAGATTTTTCACTCTCCATCCCTTGATTCTCAAGATCTGGAGCTGAACTGCTCAGAGAGGGGAGCTAAGCCATCAGTCTAGGAATTATAGACAAATATCTTCTCTTGAGAAACAAGGCCCTAGAGTGGAAGGCAGCAGACCCTTGGGTTTTCAGAGAATGAAATACTTCGAAGTTTTTTAAAGTTACCCTCATCTGGATTTGTTTTAAATCTATCTATTATAGAGTGACTGGAGTTATTTTCTCTTGTCCTCTTATCTATAGCAAACAGCACAATCATCAAACCTTGTGGCTGTGGCCACAAAATAGTTAAGAGGCGGCACACACCATAGTGCTTCAAAGCAGAAATGAAACTGGTGTGAAGAGGAGGAGGAGACAGCTGTTCACCATCAGCACTTGTGCTTTTCCATCATTTTAAAGGCAACTTGTTGTTAAGGTGAACTACAATAGAAAACACATTACAGGAAACAAAGACCAAGCAGTGGAAGGCAGCCCAAGGACTCACATGGAGCCTATGCAGTGTGATCACTCCCCTCTAACCCCACCAACCCTGCCAAGCCTGCCAACCAGCGCCCCACCGACCCTCTGTCTCAGTGGAAGGACACTGCTTTCTATTCACCACCCTGATTCCAGAAATGCTGTCATTTTGGATGCTTGTTTTTACCATTACTAAGGTTAGGCATGCTTGGTGCACACCAGCATTGAAACACAAGTCTCTGTCCTTACACAGGGAGGGCTTAGAATCAGATTGGGAAGGGAGGAGGACTCAAAACAGGAGTCAGCCGGCCACTGAAAACTGTTTTCTCTCACTCATCAGCATGCTACCAGTAATGGCTGAAATTTCAGGCAGAAACTCTGAGATATCAACACATCAAAAATCTAAACATGACTTCATTTGACATACAAAGCACACTCAGGAGAGGGACCCAAATCAGCAGCACTGCCCCGTCAGATCACTGACCTGGGCTTCGAAAGAAAGGCCGGAACTCTCCCTCAGGTAGATGGTCAAGAACAGCTTAGAAAGGCAACACAGGCTGCTTCGTTGAAAAAAAGTTGAATAGTTGGGGAAGTATAAGTGAAGATTCCTGGGTTCTATGTGAAGTCACTGACACGTTATTTTCCAAGGCACTAATCTATTTATTAGGGCGTCTATGTTTCTTTGCAGAAGAGTTTGAAATATCAGTCAGCTGATTTTCAGGATTACTTCTAGAGAGTAACAGATTAAAAGCAAGCAAGTTTCCTGGCTCAAGAGTGCATCTTAGTTGCCAGTGAGGTGTGACAAAGAATATTCTTATTGTAAGTAGTAGGGATGATAAACCACAACTCATAGTGTGTTTAAAATCCTGTCTTGATTAAAGGTGAATCTCTGAGTAAATCTCTCTTTTTAGATTTACTCACATGTCAGTGTGAAAAACTTCAGATCTCTTCTGGGCCTTAGGAATATAAGTACCTGCTTTCTAACAACTGAGAGCATGCTGGGTCAGAAGGTCAAGGGATCAGACAGGGAGACCATTT